TCTTCGTAACTGAGTGAAGCTGCACGCCGAGCAGACTCTTGCCGTGTCCTCCAGCTTGCGTTTAGAAGGGGCCTCAACTGAGGAATATAACTACACTTGTTGTATAAGGGACATATATTTCATTCTGTGGATCTGTGATCTACAGCTGAGGAGCAGAGGTTCGTAGATCGAAATATGTACAAAAATTTTATTTGAACTCTGTTAAGTACATGGCGAAATTCGCACCCTATACGAACACTGGGTAATATTTGCTAGCCTGAAAAAATATACTAGAAAATCCGTATAACATATGTTTACGAGATTTTCTGTCAGACTGGTTCTGCAGCCTGCAGCTGCTAACATCTTTAAAATTCTTGTATATTTCCAATTCCCTGCCCAGTTGTACCGTACCGAAAGCTACTTTTAATCCATTGTTCGCCTACACCTTCATTTCACATCCTGTGATCTACACTGGTTCAGAATGTCGTTTAAATGCTGACATGTTTCGGGAGCATGCTGCAAAAGCCTGCTATTTTCCAACAAAAATCACATGCAGATTGAAAGACTTTCATTCTCTGACACTTGTTTTTTTTGTTTTTTTAAAAATTTGATCAACTTTCTTCTTAGCACTTCTTCATTTATGCCTTCTTGTTGCTCATGCCACTCGCATTTCTGATATTTATTAACGGTTTACGGTTGGTGATATCTCAAGATTTCTTGCATATGTCCACTCCCCTGTTAGTTGCTGAAATCTCATCCTTGCGTGTATCCAGCTTACCACTGTCTTTGCAATAAATAAATAACTAAAAAATATTACTTTGCTAAAAGAAATAACTAGATGGATCAACAGCAGCAAGAACACCCAGATAATTGATCTGGAGTCCTAGGCTACTGGTACTTACGGAGATGCACACGTAAACCCGGCGCAGCTATGCCAAAACGTTCGAACCACAGCTGCATGCTTACAGTTAGTATCCACCATTTGATGCATGTTTACAGACTCTTCGATGGTCACACGAGTAAACGTTTGTTTTCTTGCACGGTTTTAATAATATCTTGCATGTCTCACATCTGACAGAGTCTAACTGCTTGCACTCTGAGCCTCAGGTCACGTGTCAGAAGAAAAGATAAGCATGATCATTTTGGTTTTTTGTCCATTTGTTCCAGATTTTCAGTTTAGCAGCTTTTTGTAGTTCTGCAACTGGACTCATTCAAGTAGACATTTAGATAAGCACGCATACACACTACCAGAAGTGACTTGTTGCGCTATTTGGACATTTGCAAAAGTAATTATTAAGCGTATGACTTAATTTTCCGAGAGATTTGGCCTGTATCATTGAAAGTTTATTACGGAATAGTCGATTTAAATATACAACTCTGAGCTGCACCTTTGCTCTTTGCAGAAGCATATAAAACAACAGAGTACCAGAATCAAGTCGCTGCTTGATTTCGTGCGACGGCTGAGTAGGCTATTCCGTTGAGTTATCACCATTGCTGCTTCATTAAGATCGTTGACGTGGGTGAGTATAGGTTGG